TCCTGCTTTCCCCATACTCTCTACTCCCAGTCTCTCGTGAAAGGTGGCGGACTCTGGTAGACGCTGGCAGCCGCTATATCGATATCTATTAGACGCTGGCAGACGCTAGATCGATATCCATACTTTCCTAGTCGCTGACGCTGCCGGACGCTCGGAACGCGTGGACGCTAGTGGTCGCTGGTGGACGCTGCCGCAAAGTATGAACGCAGCTTACTTCTTCGATCATCGGAATTTTCGCATGTTGCATGATAACCGCTAGTGTGTGCATGTGTGATTAGTAGTGAGCTTTAGATTCGTCGGCAATGGAGAGTCGGACAATGGAGCAGCGTTCGCGCCATGCTTCTGGCACTGGCTCGTCATACATCACTCGTGCAGCAGGTGACCGTCAAGGAACCGACACATACAGCAAACGCTACAATTATCGTAGTCGTTCGGATGTCGGTAGTCCACGACGTTACGCAAGTCAGACGTTGTTGGACGGTTCTCGACCTGGTCCAAGTACTCCGCATGCTCGTCGGGATGCCCTTGAGCACTCTACAGCGCGAGCTCGATACACTGAGTCGTTCTCCGGATAGATCGACTCCTCGAGGCTACACATCCGATACCGGCAATGCCTACGACACAGTGCGCTCAAAAGCGCGCGGATATTCCAACTATGACTATGGTGAATCTTAACGCTCTATTAACTTCTAATTAATAACTGCTTGCTTTTCTTGGTTTCGATTGCTGTGTTTCACTTTTCTAGACACATTCTCATCATCTCGCCATCACGAGACTCGAAGTTCCGCTGTCAGCGGTGGTGGTGGCGGCGCGACGGGGATCACCGTCCCAGGGTCCAGATATCCTGGCAAAGGTACGTTTCCCAACTAATCCACTTACCTGTGAACTTTGTAGGAAGTTAGCTCTTTGACCCTGCCGGTAAGGCTACTTTCATACTTTGCGGCAGCGTCCACCAGCGTCTATCAGCGACCACTAGCCTTGCGAGCGTCTGGCAGGAAAGTGTAGATATCGATCTAGCGTCTGCCAGCGTCCACCAGCGTCTGCCAGCGTCTCGAGGGCTAGGGAAGTATAGGTATCGATCTAGCGTCTGCCAGCGTCTACCAGCGTCCACCAGCGTTCACCAGCGACCGGGAGTAGAGAGTATGGGGAAGTAGGAGGGTAGCAAACAGCTGGATTAGGCGTCGTGAAATTGCGGCGTGTGCAACCGCACGTGAAATTACACTACATCGTGCAATAAATTGCATAATTCTGTGCTTTAGCAGTTGTGCGGTGCGGTTGCACACGCCGCAATTTCACGACGCCTAATCCAGCTGTTTGCTACCCTCCTACTTCCCCATACCTCTGCTCCCGGTCGCTGTGAACGCTGGTGGACGCTGGATCGATACATACTGTTCTCTAGCCCTCAAGATGCTGGCGGACGCTGATGGACGCTGGTGGACGCTGGCAGACGCTAGATGATATCTATTCTTTCCTAGTCGCTGACGCTGCCGGACGCTCAAGTCGCTAGTGGTCGCTGGTGGATGCTGGTAGACGCTGGTGGGCGCTGCCCCAAAGTATGAACGCAGCCTATCCTGCGAAATTGCTTCATACTTTTTTGTTATCTGATAACAACCTATCGCTTCTTAACCAACTTCGTCAACCCCGACTGCATGTGCATTTAATAATTGTAATAATTTACTTTAAGACTCCCGTCTTGCCTAAGCAGTAAATTTGATCTCAGCGTGCTTTACAGAACCAGCCGATGATGCTGGCAGATGGGCTGACGACCTTCTGGAAATTGTTTCCGAGCCAATGAACAAGACTTTGGATCGGATGAAAAAGTACAGTAGTTCTTCAGCAAATGTTGGTGAGTGCAAACTTTTCCAGTCACCAGTATGACTCATTGGGATTATTACGAGTTGATAGTCTTTGATAGAAGCGGCATTATGCGCTTGAACGACTTATCATGGTTTCTTAATGGCGCCTATGAGGCGATTAGCTGCCTACTGCTGACGTATCACATTGGCCGTACTGGACCCTCCCCCGGTACTAAATTATGGTACCAACTTCTTAAGTTGTTTGTGACCGCCTAGCTATGCAGATTTACGGGAAAATCACGTGGTTACGTCGAAGTGTGCGGAAGATTGAGCGGATTGGATTTGTTCCGATGATGGAAAAACATGGGTCAAGGTCGACCAGCTGTGTGACACTTGTTCCACCACTTCCAAATGGCCTTTTCTGGCATTTTCACCTCAACAGCTGGTAAATCGAAATACCCAGGGATTCTTTCAATCCTCAGAAAATTTCCAAGAAAGCTCGAACTCCATCGAATGTCAGAGAACGAAACCGAACCATCATTATTACAAAAGGCACGTACACCCATACACCCACACAAGGTATTAGTAGGGTTAATTGTTTTTTGATGAAGCAAAAAGCTCGACGAGTGCACTGCTCGCCGAATGCTCAGAAAACATTCATTTGACATTTATTCAGAAGGTCAGGATAAATCGTTGCTTAGCCATATCACATTGAACAGAGTTCAAAAGCGGATTCAGATTAAGCAATTTCCATCGATCGAAACCTTGCGTTCAGAACCAAAGTCCAGGAGTCTCGCGAGGGATCTCTTCATCTTAACCTTAAGCGGAAAACGGCCTAGTTACTCAACAGCAGGGAAGGGACTTCCGGTGTTCTAGTCAGGTTCAAATTCTAATTCAAGAACACAGCCTACTTGCTCATCCCGAGTATAAGCATCAGTTTTAATAAGTTGAACCGGTTGTTATTCTCCTGTGTTTGTTTTTTGTCTTTGAAGTTGCCATATACCCCCCCCCCCCCCCCCCCCCCCCCCCCCCCCCCCCCCCCCCCCCCCCCCCCCCCCCCCCCCCCCCCCCCCCCCCCCCCCCCCCCCCCCCCCCCCCCCCCCCCCCCCCCCCCCCCCCCCCCCCCCCCCCCCCCCCCCCCCCCCCCCCCCCCCCCCCCCCCCCCCCCCCCCCCCCCCCCCCCCCCCCCCCCCCCCCCCCCCCCCCCCCCCCCCCCCCCCCCCCCCCCCCCCCCCCCCCCCCCCCCCCCCCCCCCCCCCCCCCCCCCCCCCCCCCCCCCCCCCCCCCCCCCCCCCCCCCCCCCCCCCTGAAAAATGTGTTTTGTTCGAACTGAGTGGTAAAATAAATTTTAAAGGAGTTCGTGGGATGGTAGTTCTTGTCACAGGACTGCCAGCGCGCCCTGGCGGGGGCAGAACTGATGTGCATCTTTATGAGTTACATGATTGATACTCTGGGCGCCACAATATACGATGAGGACATTTGTTTATGACCCGTAGTATACGATTAGCTACTGGCAAACCGAACCCGCCTCCGAAAGAGAAGCACACGAGCCTAGATCGGTCTGCATATCCGCGCGCCCCGACCGAACAACAGAGACCACCCCCTGCTGGCACTCTCAACGAAGCGGATCCCGAGGCCATCAACTCAGTAAGCGACTACCCGAACATCTCACTCTAGATATTTTGCACCGAACTGCAGGAACGATGTCGGCGGTGAACTCAATATCTCGTTGCCCATCTTCTGCGCTTCCAGTCCCATCTCCTGACGCTAAACAACCGGGTGATAAGAGACCTCATGAGTTCTGGTGAGTATTTCGAGCTGGAGCCGCCCAGCCGAGTCGCTACTGCAGGGAGCGGAGAAGCAAACTCTTGGGAAGTGGAGACCGAAGGAGAATACTATCCAATAGAAAACTTAAAAAAAAAAACTTAGTAGGCGAAAAATGCTAGACTTCTAGGACATTCATTGGCGGGCATTTTTTTTGATCCTAAGTATCTTCTAAATGGAATCTCGCAATATAACTATATTATCCGGAATCCTGATGATCTAAGGGTAGCGCCATGAAAGAACAATCCCTTAGCGAGACCGTTCCTACCAGCTGGACGACTGGTGTCTTACACCGTTGGTGCATTAGTGATTCAATCGTGGTAATCAGCCCTCCTGCATTAGAAGAGTGCTGCTGGCCTTCTTGAGCTGGATTGTGAGGGACGTCTCTACTTTTGCGAGAATGTAGAAGAAGTAATAGAAGCACTTGCCTCTGCTTGTGGAGGAATAACCCAACAGTACTCGGGAGACGGACAAGACAATCGCAATTGGCGTCGTCGCGCGCGGCGTGTCGTGCGGCGGTGTGCGGCAAAGTCTCGATAAGACCGGATTGGCTGATCAGAGCAACAAAACTCATATTAATTCAAATTTTGGCAAACTTCCTCCTTCCGCTTAGTTCCATATCCAAAAGGACAGGAAGGATAACTAGTCCGTGGAGCGCAGCGTCGCTCGCCACACCTACCAGCACAGTACACTACGATTGTCTTGTCACATGGATAAAGTCACTGGATAATTAATTAAAATTACTTTGAATTCCCAGCGTGCGTTGTCAACCTGACCTCAAAGACGCGCCCTATAACAGAAACTTCTTCCTTGCATTTTCCTAAAACGCCTATTTGTAATCTGAATGTCACTCCTTTGAGCGGCAGGTTTCGCTTACAAATTGAAAACCTGAGGAGTCGTCTTATTACAAGTGATTGTTTCAGAAGGAGGTGGAGCGTCGACTTCCCATGGTGACGCCAAAGAGATCGTCGAGGAAAAGTATCATAGATCATATAAAGAGGTGAGTGAATTAGACGCAACTCATTCAGTATGAACAATTCCGATTTGTAGTTTATGGCGAACAGCAGTACGTAGCCCTGAAGAGAACCAAAGAACCAGACTGATGACTAAGGCTTCCCCCTCTGGAGTGCCTCAAGCTTCTCACCTTGAATATACTGTCTCGGACTACTGGAGCGATATTCTTAGGTTTTCGGGTCCCTTTCAAAATGTTCCAGCCTGCAGGACAAGTAGTACCTTTCTCCTCAGCCTGGGCCAAGATCAATGGTTACTTCTTCCTGACCCCTATGAGGATGGAGAGTTGTCAGGAATCACATCAGCAGCGTTTGTCCAACCGATGACGAAGGCAACGACGGGGAAGAGGGGCGTAGTCCAAAACACTCGAGTCGCGTCATAGCGCGCAAACTAGCAGATTATCTCCTGATTAGTTGATTGACAATTGCCCACTACCGGCTGATTTCCGTTTGGGATATGGAATTTCGCATACGTGGCAACACTGGCAGAGCTCTCTCACTGCCCTCGTTGCGAAACAGTGTGCTGCGATACCAAGGTCGAGGAGGATAATGCACCATTATCAAACATAGAGTTAAACATTCTGTTACGACACTTTACGCAATTCCTGTCAACGGGTACGCGCTCACAAGTCCAGCGATGTCGGCACGCCAGCTTGGAAAAAGCTCAGAATTCCACAGCGTCTACAGAATTACTAGCAGTGTTAAAGACACATTCCCGCAATAAAACAGACGGGCGCGCAAAGAGGTGGGTGCTTCCGTCATTTGGTCGTTTACACGTTCTTATACGGTGAGGAGGAGAGGCACTTATGAGAAAAAGCCTGGTAAGTAAACGGTTTGCAACCACAGGTTTAGGAGATGGCGCCTCTAGGCCTACCGGTTACACACTTGTACGGCGCGGTCCAATAGCTGCCCAAATAGTGTCCACCAGCTGGCCAATATTTTCCACCAGCGCCGTCGCCAACGAGCGTCCGGCAGGTCATGCAATTAGAAAGTCAAGACATCGAGTCAGGTGTCTCGCCGAGCGATTTACCGGCGTATCACCAACGTCCTACACCATCAGCACTAGGATCACTAGCGACCACATCGAGGGAGCAGAAGATTATGGACATTGATCTAGCGTCTGCCAGCGTCTGCAAGCGTCCACCAGCGACCATCAGCAGACAGCTCTAACGCTAACGAGTATGGGGCGATGAGGGGCACCACCTGTCTGCTGCCCTCCTATCGCCCCACACTCTCCACTCCCGGAGCTTCTGGTCGCTGGTAGACGCTGGCAGACGCTGGCAGGCGCTAGATCGATATCTATACTTTCCTAGTCGCTGACGGTGCCGCAAAGTATGAAGTCTTAACCTTTTCATAGCGTCCTGAACGATACTGTGTCGGGCTCAGAAAATGATTTTCTCAGATCCTCGGGTTTGCTAGTCTCAACAGCCACTGATCTACTGATTTCAGGAGCACTCTTCTGGAGCTGGACGATAGAGCCTCCTGTAGTCCGTGCTAGTGCAGCTACTACTGCTATGTGTGTGCGGTGAATTCGGTGCTACAAATTTTAGATCAGTTCTCTATTTTTTTCTTTTGATTTTTACAATTACATTCATTTCTGATTCAATATGTTCTCCATACTGCCATATTCTCACACATTCTTTGTTGAGTTTTATGTTCCTTTCATTCATTCATCCTGCCTTTCTTCGTTCATCACTGTCCATTCATTGTCCACTTTCCCATGCAGAGGCGATATATAAGAAAAATATAAAAGAATTTGACTTTCTGAGCTGGAGATTTTGTTAGGAAAAGTATATATTACTATATATGTGTGTGTATTTGTTTTGTATTTTCTTACCACGGATCACATAGAAATTGTCACTCGATGACGTCATTTGCTCAGTTCGTACATAATAAAGCGTCTTTTGTCTTGCCCCCGTGTTGTTGGCTTGTTGCCCTGAGGCTTTCGGTTTTTGTCCGCTGTGCCTCCAAGGGCAAGTCCTGCTGTTGAGGAAAATTCTTGCAAAATAGATCCCTCCTTTGTATTTCCTCCCTTGGTACAACCCCCGACCTCTTCCCCAGCTTCAGTCACACAGAATAGCCCCCTTTCGGGACCTCTTCCCCAGCTTCACTCACGGAGAATATGTCCTAAAAAATGAATCAGAGGTTTTCTAAGACCTCTATAAAAACATTGACCACCATGGCACGTTACGAACCCCCTCAAAATTTCCTCTTCTGGTATGATCCTCCCCTTCTTTCCCATCCTACG